TAAAATTTATTATAATGACTTCTGTCTGTCTCAGCGATTGACTATCAGTCAGTTTCGAGTCTGTGTGGAAGGTGGCTAAACTCGACGTAGTTGCCTATTTCCAGTTTAAGCCGGTCAATTGCTGTCAACGTCTACGTAGCGACGCGCCTCTGTTAGCCATTCTCGGCTGGCTTCGTTGCAAATGAAATTTAAATATATAAATACAAATATAGCCAGGCGTTTTAATGTCAACACTCAGCTCGCGGCACATATTTGCTTCTCCTAGCAGCTTTCAGCATTCATGTTCAGTTTTCCTTTAATTTAGCCGCGACGAACAGCTGTTTTCCAATTCGAAGCAGTAATACTCATTCGTATAAATATACATACATATGCATATGAGCTATAGCTGCGGGACGACGCGGGGCCATTAAGCTAGTGACTGATATTAAGCCTAAGCGGAAAGTATAGCGTCGAGACGAAGGGAGGGACACACGAGAAACCGCAGAGTACAATGTGCTATGGATCTCGACCATATGCAATACCTACATATGTGTCAATATAGATATATAAATTGTTTATAAAAATTTGCATGCAATCAAAGATTTAACACTCTGCAATTTAATTCAGTATTATATAGAATTGGGCCTCTAAAATGTCAACTAAGTTTGACCAAAAATCCAAACAATTCTACATTTTCAATAATATCATTTTAAAGCTTTTTTCATATTCAACAAGCATTTTTCATACACTCCTCAAACAAAACAAACCCCGAATTTCTTGACTTGTCATCAAAATTAATTATATTTTGCAAACAAACAAAATCTAATAGCGTTTTTCTAAAAACTCCTCTAGCGAACTGCTTAATTATGCACAATTTCCATTCAAATTGAAGTACATATTCATTAAAATACAAATAATTAAATGCTTCAAAACATGCAGGAAAAATTAATAAACACAAAATATATTTATTCTGTGAATAATAATAATACTATTACTATTATTTTTATCCAGTCAAAAATACATATTAATAGTCAGTATTTATGCATTTGCCAGGCGCCATAATTAAATACGTATAAATTAAAACAATTTGGCTATAATGAAATAGACGGATTCAACGAATCGCACACAAAACAAACAAATTTTTATTTATTATTAACTTTGTATTTACAAAAAATTGGTATGCGGCAGTTGTAAGCAGTTTTGTCTGTGCTCTTTGATATTGATTGCAATCACAGCTAAACAAAAAAAGTAGACAAAAAAATATCAACAAATCGTAAAAAACACTTCGAAGAATACTGCAATGAAAAAGGTAAAACAAAATCAAAGCAAAGCGAAAACAAAGTAATTGGCAGTTAGGTAAACAACTTGTAAAGAAGAGTAAGAACTGATAAGAGCCGCTCGCCGCGATGGTAGTGTGGACGGACCCTGGCGATAAGGGCTCAAACGGCGAATATCGATAAGGTCAAGAATGATAATCAGCGTTTAAAAACACATTTAGTCAGAAGCCTATGGGATTAAATAATATATTGTGTGTTACGCTCTGCCCAATGCTCTCGCGTTGTCACTCTCCGAACAGCGGCACAGTGTGACAAATGCTATTGAGAGTGGGTGCAAATTGAGTTACTGTGAATGGATTTTTAGCTATAAAATTGAAAAAAAAGAGTAGAGAGTAAAGTTAGCTTAACTCAACTTGCTGAAATACGAATATTAAAAGGAAATTAATTAATATATGTTATATTAATTTATAAACGTAGGTAATTGAACAAATAAAATAAAATAAAATAAAATAAAAAAGTTAAATGCAGACTAAATTTATAATAATAATAAAAATATATTGTAAGCAAATATATTTAACAAAAAAATAATTTAACAATATATATATAGAATACTAATAAAAATTAATAAAATGTCAAATATAAACCAATAATTATAATAAAAAATGAATTATATATTCCGATCTCAAAAAGCATTCGGTATCATACGAACCACTGTGCATTGCTGGCATCGCCGGCGTCGCTGCCGGCACTAATCGTTGCAGCAGCAGCAGAAGCAGGCCTAGCAGCGGGTTAAACGCCGACGCTGCTTCGCTTTGAAGATCGGCCAGTTAGTATTTAGTCTGCAATCGTCCGGGCTCGAGGCGAGTCGGTAGTATCGCGTGCTAAACACAGCATAAACACACGTACGGAGAACGTAATAAAAGACCCCCTAATCGAACCTTGGTGCTAATACACGCTCTGCGCCTATCGTCCCCGCCTATCGCCTAGTTGTGCTCGACGTGTGATAAATCGAAAGCGCAATTCGATCAGCGAATCGCGATTGTCCCAAGTGTTTTTTTAGTGGGCCCCAAAAAGTTATGGCTCACAATAATGATAATTCAACGTAAGTAAAAGTGTTACAGGCTATCCAGATCCGATGTGATCAAATTAAAAAATGCACTATCGATTCGAGTCCAAAGTTCTCCAAACAAAAAAAAGAATTGAATAAATGAAATCTCGTGCTAATGTTGCAATCGGGTGTGAATGACTGCGTAATATACAGTTACTTCCGGCTAAATCTATTAGGAGACATCAAGTTTTCGATTCGTGTGAATTGAACATATTTTTAGATCGACTTTTTGTATATACAACCTACATATATAAAATTTCATTAGTGATAAATTAGCGATAGATATGCACATGAATATGATGAATTGGTTACTTCAAAAAACGAGCATATATCTGATAACTCGTATCTTTAAGTTCCATGGAGTCATACAATATTACGCCGAATATTTAAGAGCCTTGTAATAAACCATTATACTTTTCATGAATCCGATACGTGTATCAAAATCAGTGCCTAATGGGCCACTCAATGTGTCTCATTGACACGCTTATCTCACAAGGACAAAGGCAGAACAAGTTCTTGGCGTTATTTATATAATATTATCTCTGTGTTCAAGAGTCATTTCATAAAGTTTAATTAAATACTTCTCTCAGATTTTCTCATAAACAGTCTAAAGACACATGTGCATATCTTTCATTATGATTCTTTCGAGCCGGCGCTATGTGAGTCACTTAACATTGATAAAGAGTTAGGCCTGAGACAGTGGAAAGTGGTTTCATGTTAGCTGAGATCGCGCCAACTGAAACAGCCAGACAGGGTGGGTCTGTCTATCAGTTGGTCTGGCTGTATTATACATACATATATATGTTGACTTATGTACACACATAGATTCGTATATACGACTATATTTATAAAAAGATAAGCTTTTTTGATGGTTGATAATGTTGACTCAAGATGTTAAAGTTTATAAAACGCTTATAGGCTATATATATATATATGTATATGCCTCTATGCATGAGACACACGCGCCAAAATAGGTGTATAGAAAAGTTAGAGCACGCATTAGCGCGTCTATGTATAGACAAAACAAATCAATCAAAGCTTAGAAATTATTTCTATTAGCATCAACTGTGAAATCCAACAATATGTAGTAAATAAAAAGTTGTCAATGAATACATAACATTAAAAATTAAAATTCCAACAGGGTATCTCTTAGTGCATATTTGTATTCCATCATAGAAACTTGTTGAATAATTCGTGATTAAATTTGTTATAGTTTCGAGGTGCTGACATTATTCTATAACAACTCAATGTATATAATGGCCAAAGCTGCAATTTGAAATATAATATTGATTTTGAAACAGAATAGCAAACTGAAACAGCTAAATATAAATATTTATTCAACAATTGCTTAATCGAAACACGAGACTGTGCATTAATTTAAAACATGTCATGAACACAGTTCCAATACTCTTCATAGTAGAGCCCGATCGAAAGTTGATTTGATTTGCACAGCTAAAAATAAGTTTGGTCATTAACACTTTTGTGTTAACTGCGCATGACCAAAATGCTAGCCGAGTAAAATTTATTAATTATCAATTACAATTAATTAATAACAAGCTTAAAGGCAAAAAAAGAAAAAAACACATTTTTAAGCAGAATTGTATATGCCTTTCAAAAAATTCTCCGAATAAATAATTAACGAATCGAATATCAAGAAAAATTTTCCAAGACGTCAGTGAAAGTTGTTTTGGTGTATTGCATTGACTAAAAAATATTTAATTAAATAAGTATTTAAAAAAATAAAAAAAAAATTAATTAATTAATTAAAATAAGAGTTTTTAAGTATTTTCGTCAATAACAGATTAATATTTAAATAGATCAAAATTATCTAAATATTATTCCATTATTTATAAAAATACTTAATACAAGATTTTTTATATATAATGAATATTATATTTTAAATAGATGTTTTTTAATTCTTGCAAGCTATAAACGAAATTCATGAAAATTTTCTTACAAAGCAGGATTGCATTGATTGATTGATATTAATGTTGAAATAGCATGTTAAGAGTGGACTGTGATATTATTTAGATATATATTAAGATGTCTTTAGTCAATCTCTAAATAATAACCAGCATATGCACTCTGACTAAAAAATGTTGTAATTCGTACTGCACATATTGAGCTGTCTATTTATTCTATTCACGAATATTTATAAACATTCCATGGAGGCGACAAAGTCATCTTCAATGTCTCACCTACATCGTGATGTTATGTTAAAGACCCATTTCAAGGGCCCATAGACTTGATGTAACATTTACAGAAGGCACTTGATTCATCTTGTTAATCACAATTATCTTGAGCAGCTGTTCCAATGTGTGAGCTTAAGGCGTTTTAATTTGAGTCAACTTGAGGCATTCAAATCAGGTTTTTCGTTGATTTTTGTTCGAGTTATTTCGAGGGGGTTTTTTGAGTGGGTGCTCAGGTTTTTGGCCTCAGTATAAAACAGTTTAATGCAATTATTGCAAATGACGCTCAACTTGTGCGTTCACAACTTAATGTTATGTATTTTCTTTTTTATAAAATAATTTTTGGAGTCATTTAAGGGCAAGAATTAATAATTTGATCAAATTGCTTTATGTGAAACGCAATCAAGATTTTAAATGCTAATTGCATTTGGTTTTTTGTTTTTTTAGGCCCTGGAACATGAACTCCTCGAGTGGTGACGATGAGGCGCCCAAGGATCCGCGCACTGGCGGCGAGGACTTCACTCAACAATTTACAGAAAACGATTTCGAAGGTGAGTGAACGATTCAAAGTGCACAACGCTGCGTATACGCAATGCATTGGAATGTTGTCAACACGACCTGTTGGCTGATTTTTCGCATGCCAAGTTTGCTCGCTAAACGATTCCAGACACGCCCGCGCACTTGGCGTCGTCGTCAGCCGAGGGTCTTCGTATTACGAAACCAATTCACAAACTTTGAGTAAAAAAATTTACAAACTCGTCAAACAAAAAAACAATTGCAAGCAAAGTAAACCAGGCAGGGTGAGGGCTAAATCGCGATGATGCGCATTTAAAGTGAGATTTATTTAATGGGAGACAGAAGACAATAAATACTATATCATTAAATATTTGTTTTATTTTTTTTCTAAATTTTTATTTATTTATATATTTTTTCATCTAATTCATGTAAAATAGTTTTTCCTAATGACACTATTAAAGTACACTTTGTGCTTAAACGTATAAATTACTCAATTTGAAACGTGATTCAGCTGATCTATAACGAAAGATGAATAATTGAGTATTCATGTGTGGACATGTTTCAAATACTAAACATATTTATTCCAGTTGAAATGATTTGACGACAAGCGATTTTGTAAGATTTAATTGATTTTAGTTATGTACTTAAAAAAATATAAATTCTTTATAAATTAAACAAATTATAAATAAAAAAAAGAAAAAGTACAATAGTGTATTTGCAAAAAATATGGGACTGAAAGAGAAAATTAAATTGGATGAAAACTATTGTATGAAATTATTTATATAGCTGGATGGGATTTGAGTTAGGAGTGAGGTATATAAATGGGAAATGATTAACGTATATGAATTTAAAAATTGTTAGATATAGAATTAAAATAAAATAGAGAGTTTTGTGTTGGGAATTTACTTTAGGTAACTATTCATAGCCAAAAAAAAAAACTTTGAATTTATTAAAAGTCCCAAGCCTGATATTATTATAGAATAAGTTTATAGAATAAGTTTTTAGATATTCTATGCTTTAGTTGACTAAGTTTCGAATGCTTTAACCAACTGCATACATAATTATTGTAATTTAGAATGCTCTTATTATTTGTTTATCTTAGAATTTCTTTATATATATACAATTAATTTATATATGCTTGGATATCTCATATATGATTTTTAACCCTCACTCATTATCCTCACATTCCACGCACACTTGCACTCTAATCTTTTACCTTCACACGCTTTCCACATTATTCTAGTTTGAACCGCTTCTTACACTCTGCTAGTGCCTAGTTGTTAATCTGTTTAGTTTGTCCAGCGTTTCCTCTAAGCAAGCTCCACTGTAAATGCATAAAAACGCCCACTAGACCTTGATATACATATGTATATGTTTGTATCGAATATATGCATATACGTATCTATCAGTGCGAAACATGCTTACATATAATTAATTGAAATTATGATCAAACCGAGATACAGCCGCACAGATGATCTCACAATTAGTCGAGCAAACGACAGACGAGCGACGTTTGCCGAAGTCGTAATGAAAATTGTCATAGGACTGAATTTATGACTGGCACGTAGTACTACTATGTATAAAGAACTGGAAACAAGCAATGTACATATATTATTTAGCTGCAATTAGGCAGAGCTGAAAAGCAGCTGAGTCAGCGCATCGTATATACTAACTAAGTACTCTCGTCAGAGCGACACAAATTATCAGCTTGTCATCAGTTGTTATCAGCCACGAAATCAACAGTTAGTTTAGTTTTATTTACTTTTATTTTTAAAGAACGTAAAATTTTACACATTTTCCAATAGATTTCCCTGGGCGATGCAAGCCAAATGGAATTATGCATGTTATTTGATTTCTCTCTTTTGTTGTTGCCGTTGCTGTTGTTGTTGTTGTTGTGGCCGTTGATGTTCTCGTGTTTGTTTAGCAATCAATTAAGCTCCGCATTGAATTTGTATCCATGCACCTGCAGGACACCGCGCGCACACCGTTTATGTGGGCGTCCACGTGCCGGGAGGACGACGCCACTCGCAGCGCCGTCGCAAGCATCACCATGGCGGCAGCGCCTCCGCTGGCAGCGTTGGCAGAGACAGCATTAGCGACAAGCAACTGGAAGTGGAGCGTCCAGGTGGGTGCCACACAGCCCCCCAAGTATCTCCCTCTCTCTCTCTCTCTCTCTCTCTGTGTGTGTGGTTGTCCCTCTGTCTGTATAAAATACGAGTTGGACATGCGAGGTGGGATGTGACCAATCAATGTGACAGCGTCCGAATTATAGCAAATTACAGAGAAGCCACCGATTCCGTCAGCAGGATGCACAATTACAGTCATCCAACAAATCAGAGCTGCTTGTGCAGCCACTGGGCCAGCAGACGAGCCTGATGAGCTGCATTAAAATGAATAAAGCTTGGCTAGAGCTGGTGAATGTAAACTCTATTAAATAATGTGCAAGATGACCAAATATAAAACTATTTCATATCTTATGACTCTATAAGTATACTAAAGTCACTCAAGTTATCGAGAATGTTGCAATATCTAATGGGATTTGCCGTGAATCATTTTGCGCCTGTGAAATCTTATCGAACGTCGGTTGGAGTTGATAATACGCCACGTGACTTTCGCTGTGCAGTCTAGAGTCATCAACTGTGACATGACAAATAGCATAAATATACTTAGTTTTCAACTAAAACAAGAAAGAAATCACTTGAGCCTAGTTTTCCTTTGGTCAGTTAGGCAATTTCTAGTTATAGGTATATAATTCTTTATCTATATAGATTTTATGTGGTGCGAATATGTTTCACTTAATATGCATATTTTCCTCTAAAACATATCTCCATTGCTAGTATGCAAAACTTTATTTTTATGAGCGGAAGCTTAGCTCACAGTTTATGATGAGTGTTTATGGTTCATTCTAAAGATACAAACTTGTTTATGAGCTTGTAACTATGTAGGTACGTGCTGCTCTCTAAACATGCTTCAAGAGTAAGCACGTAAACACTCCAAAGGGCACTCTGGGTGCTCAGCATGTAAGTCTAGCATGCGAAATTTATTGAGGCAGGCAATTCGATTAGAGCAGGTTGACAAAAAGTTGACAATCATTGAAATTTGTCAAGGAGATCAATTCAAAGTTTAAACAGCTCATATAACGCAATTGAAACTCGTTTCAGTTGAAACTTTCAATTACAATTCGATTATAACTTAATTAATAAGGGAAGCTTTTATAGTTTATTTTTATTATTGGATGTTAACGTACAGTTAACAAGAAGTTAAAGTCATCAAGCACTTCTATTCAAGGATTCACATAAAA